GTTTTTACTGGATAAACATCTAAATTTATTCGTGTTTATACATTTCTATTATTCACTGAAAAATTTCATTTTTTATATGATTCAATTGGTTAATGTTGAATCAAGTATAACAGTCAACAAAATCCCGGACTATTTGAAACCAGACTAATCGAGGAATTAAATACATACAAAAAAAGTGATGATTTTATTAAATTTTGATCAATTAACATTTACTTTGGAAATTTTCGAACTGTAGACTACAGCGAATCCGGACTGATCAAAGCCGCACTGTGTGAGGTGTTCCTGTACTATTTTAACAATAACCGTCAAATCATATAAAAAAAACGAACATTTTCAATGAAAATTAAATTAAATTTATTCGTGTGAATACATTTCTATTATTCACTGAAAAATTGCTTTTTTATATGATTCAATCGGTTATTTTTGAATCAGTCAACAAAATCCCTGACTGTTTGAAACCGGACTAACCGAGGAATTAAATACATACAAAAAAAAGTGATGTTTTTTTTTTAAATTTTGATCAATTAACATTTAGTTGGCAAATTTTCGAACAGTAGATTATAACAAATCCGGACTGATTGAAGCAGCACTGTGCGAGGTATTCCTGTACTGTTTTAACAATAACCAACCAAATCATATAAAAAAAAAACAACTTTTTAATGAATAGTAAAGGAAACTTTCATACTTTCATTGGTTATTATTAAATGAGTGGAGGAAAAACAAGAATAAGGAAAAATAAAAGAGAGCGTATGGAAAATTTTCCTTCTCGTTGCTATGTATAAACGTGAAAGGTGCACTCTTCGGATTCCGCATTTCGTGGGCTTTCCTGTTAGTACAAAGATTATGATAAATCGATGATGTATTTATTCCATTCTCAGCACGATTTTTTCCAATCATTTAATTTCCTTTATTTACACATCCTTTTCAAATATTAATAGTCTAAAATTATTATTTTCTACATCTGTTAAGGATTAATGAAAACTAAATACAAAATTATTTTTTTGTTATTGACATAACATATTGAATATTAAAAATTTTAACCTTTACATAAAAAAAGAATACGAAATAGAGACTAGAAACTTAATATTAATGAAATATTGCATTTTTTATTGTGATTTATTTAAATATATCTATATAAAAATGATGAGAGCGATGAAAAAATTCGAAAAATTATGATAATATATGTAAAGTATTTCAATTGTAAACTTTTCATCCGATTTCCAAATAGAAGACTTTACGGCAGTCTCCGAACTGGATGGTGGGAAGGAAGGCAAACGCTCGTAAAAGCCTCGGCCAGACGCATAAAAAAGTTCGTTAAAATTCGATGAAACACCGAAATACGCAACCGATTATTCACGCTCCAGTTACCATTTCAGCAATTTACCACCCACTAAAAAGACACAATCATACATACAAACAATACAACATTTCAAACAAAATACAGTTGTTTTTTTTTTATTATTAACTTCATTAGAGAAACATCATCATTCTGTTACAATGAAGTCATTACATTTTTTTTCTTAAGGTAATTTTGTTTCTCTATTTTTGTTAGAAATATAAATAATTATGTATTGGCATTCATAAAACTTAATGGGAAATTATTAAAGATTTTTTTTTGCCAATTCCATAATTTTCATATTTTTTTTACATTTTTGATACATTTTGATATATATTTTTTTGAAAATTTATTTACGAAAGTACAGAGGACAAAATTTCATTGGGTGATTTTCAATTTAATTGAGTGATAAAAACAGTCCATAAATTTTCTTTACGTTTTATTTTTCTTAATCTTTTTTTTCTATTTTCCTTCTAAATATTATGTAATATGTATCGAGGACAAAGTAGGATTACGTGATTACTTGAAAATAAGAATAACAACAATATTTGATTTAAGCGACATCTATGATGTTACAATCTAAATAATTTAATAATACCAAATTTTCAATTATTTAAAATTAATTTTTCTGATAAATTTCGTTAAATTCTATATTTGTTTACAATTCTATGAAATTGAGAAATATTGAAACTTTACAATTAATAAAACTTTGATTTATTTGTCTTCATTCTCGAAATTTTCTGGAATTTATACGCAAATGATTTTGTTTTTCATTTATAGTTAGAAATTGTATATTCTTGTTAAGAAAATTCAGAAATGAATTTTCTTGATTTATGATGAAATAAATCTTGTTGATTTATGAAGGAAAATCCAATGACAGAAATGATAATTCATGAATGAAAAATTGCATTTTCTTAAATATCAAAAACTTTCTCTTTAACTTATTTGTCTTTATTTGAATTGCTTTTATATTTTTTTTTGCGTAATTAGTCAATTTTAATGTGAAATGTATAATTCAAATTCTTCTTTTGTTAATTACTTTAATATATTTATTTTATTTTTTTCAAATTTCGTTAAATTTTATGTTTATTTACATCTTATAAATAAATTGCAAATCCAAATTGTCAATTTTTTTCTTTCAAAATTTTAATTATTAATTATAAAACTTTTTGAATTAACATAATTAGTCAGTTATTTAAACATATTTCAATATTTTATAAATTAATTATTTGTTTCTTCAATAAACCTTAATATTTGTAAAAATAATTAAATTTTTTATTTCATGTTAGAATATTTAATGTGTTTATATAAGGCTGCAAAGATAAAATAATTGAGTAAAACTTAAGAAAAAAAGGAGACGTAATTTTTCTTTACAAAAAAAATATTTCTCACTTAAATTCATTATAAATCCGCATCAATTTCAACCAAATTATTGATTTCATATTAGAACTTAAAATATGCTTATATAAGGCTACAAAAATAAAAATAATTAAGTAAAACTTAAGAAAAAAAGAAACTTAATTTTTTTTTACATAAAATTTACTTTTCACTTGAATACATGATAAATCTACAAGAAATTCAACAAAAATGTTGATTTTATATTAGAACTTATAAATATGCTTATATAAGTCTGCAAAGATAAAAATAATTGAGTACAACTTATGAAAAAGGGAAACGTAATTTTTCTTTACATAAAATTTACTTCTCACTTTAATTCATGATAAATCCACATGAATTTCAACCAAAATATTCATTACAAATTAATCATTTCATGTTAGAATTTATAAAAATACTTATTTACGACTGAAAAGATAAAAATAGTTTAGTAAACCTTAAGAAAACGTAATTTTTCTTTATATACAATAGTTCTCACTTTTATTTATGTTAAATCCATATGAATTTCAACCAAAATATTCATTATAAATTAAAAATTTCATACTAGAACTTATGAACATTCTTATATAAGGCTACAAAGATTGAACAATTGAGTAAAACTTAAGAAAAATGGAAAGAAATATGTTTGACTTGTTTACATAAAATTTAGTTCTCACTTTAATTCATGTTAAATCAACATGATTTTCAACCTAAATATTGATTGCAAATAAATAATTCCATATTAAAACTTATAAAAATACTTATTTACGACTGCAAAGATAAAAATAATTCAGAAAACCTAAAGAAATGTTTTTCGCCTGTTTAACATAAAATTTACTTTTCACTTTAATTCATGATAAATCCACATGAATTTCAACCAAAATATTAATTACAAATTAATCATTTCATATTAGAACTTATGAACATGCTTATATATAACTGCAAAAATAGAATAATAGAGTAAAACTTAAAAAAATAGGAAAGAAATGTGTTCAACTTGTTTACATAAAATTTACTTCTCACTTGAATTTATGATAAATCCACATGAATTTCAACCAAAATATTGATTACAAATTAATCATTTCATATTAGAACTTATGAATATGCTTATATAAGACTGCAAAGTTAGAATAATAGAGTAAAATTTAAGAAAAAAGCAAACGTAATTTTTCTTTACAAAAAAAATACTTCTCACTTGAATACATGATAAAACCACAAGAAATTCAACAAAAATGTTGATTTCATATTAGAACTTATAAATATTCTTATATAAACCTGCAAAGATTAAAATAATTTAGTAAAACATAAGAAAAATAAAAACATAAAACTGGAAAATAATTGATTAAAACTTAAAACAAAATTTGTCTTTACATAAAATTTACTTCTCACTTGAATACATGATAAATCCACAAGAATTTCAACCAAAATGTTGATTTCAAATTAATCATTTCATATTAGAACTTTTAAACTTCATAAGGTTACAAAGGTTAATAATAATTGGGTAAAAGTAAGAAAAAGGAAAAGAAACTTTTTTTTTCTCTAAATAAACTTTACAATCTAATAAACTCTCAATGTAACAAATCCAAATTAACTATTGTTTTCAAAATATAAGTAAAAAAAAAACATTTAAAAAAATTAATAATAATTAATAAAACTATTAAAAAAAGGGATAGGAAAAAAAATAATTAAAACGAATTATGATTTTTTTAAAATAAAATTTACTTCTCACTTTAAAACATATGTTGTTAAATGTACATACAACTTTTACAACCAGAAAGAATATTAATTACAACAAAACAAAAAAAAACTTGTTAATAATAATACACTAATTAATAGTAGTAATAGTTTATAATAAATGTAGGTAGTTTCCGTTTTTTTTTTTTTTCGCATCTCATAATCTCCGTAATAAATAAAAAATATATTTGGTCTACTATCTACAGACTAAATCAAAATAAATATATTACATGTATACGTTTCTTTTTTGTTTTTTCTTCTTCTGTTTCTGCTTTCCTTTTGTTTGTTTGTTTTTTATTTCATGCCGTTTCCACGATTAATATAATCCTATGTACAATTTGAACTGCTCGAAAAATACAAAACATTGTAGAAAACTATTGGAAAATCTCCAAAAAAAAACCCTCAACTCAACTATTATTACAAGTTTGCTTTTCTTTTTCAATTATTATTATTAATTTCATCTTATTTTTGGCAGTAATACAACATGTTTTTTTTTGTTATTTTAGTTCCATTTCAATAATAATAATTTAAAAAGAAAAACGTTTCGTCTTATAAAGTAACTTTTGTTTATAAACTAAATGCTAACACATCCAACACCATTTCCACTTTACGTTATTATTATAAGTTTTTTCCCTTGCTTCTTCCTCGAGTGGGTTTAACCCATTCTTTATATATATATAATATATATCTACAGTATATAAGAACCTATAGTATAAGTTGTAAATATAATAAAATCAGTTGACGTATAAAATTATCCTTAGATATGATAAAATGAGTAGCCTTGTTTCTGTAACAAAACAAATGCCAAGATTTCCTGTTTAGTGTGTATGGAGAAATGCACTGATTTGTATCGGATTTGTTCACATGAAGAACTCCTGCGTGGAGTGGGATAATGTGAGTCATGCATTGGGTGGTCGATCCAAGCAGCTGATCTCTAACACCCTTAAGCCACGCAGGCTAGGGTCTGTGACTATCAGACCTTTCGGGTGATAAATCCTCTCATTCTCTTCAGCAATAAACTTGGAAACTTTCCTCAAACACTAAAACCAAACAAATTTAAAACAATTAAATTAATATTAGATTTGTTTATTCAACAAACCTTTTCATAATGCGTCTCTTTGCAAACATATATTAGATAAGCTGTGATGCAAGCTAAGCAGCCCTCACAGTACGTCGAGCACGAAGCCTTCTCAGCCTCAGCGAAGTGTCCATTCAGTGTGTTTATTGTGTGCTCAAAATCTTCCCGATTTATCTGCAATAATACATAATAGATTATGATGATTGAATGTCCAATTGGAATTCTGTACCCGTCCTTCCAATTCTTGTGGGAATCTTGTTTGGAATTTGACTACTGTTCCCTCGCTGTAGTCTCTCTGGATGAACACCTTCAAGCACTGAGATGGAGCCATCTGCTCCGTCTCACTTGCCCTCGAGCCATTGTTATGGTGGTTGCTCATGTTGCACCTCTTGATCACTAATTTCTCATTAAAATAACAGTAAAATTCATGCAGTTCTTCTATTCTGGTTTTGGCTAGCAGATCATGTTTATGTTGTAGGTGGAAATGACAGCAGAAATGTCGTCACAGGTCAAAAATTATGATAAAATAGGTTATGTACGTGAAGTTGGTCATATAACAACGACTTTTGAACTACTGCTGCACTTTGATCTATTCGACTGCATTCCACATATAAATACATCTAAAGACTATTTATAGTAAATTCAACATCGTAATCAAGAGATTAATTATTATTAAAGTGCAGTACACAATTTTTTAAACTTATATCAAAAGTTATTGAAAATTTCAAATATTTCTAAATGAACTACCCCTAAATCTATAATTAATCATTTTCTCATCACCTAAGAATTTAAGTAAACTCATTTATAATTCGTTTAGTACTCAGAAGATGATAGATTAAAAATAGAGTTTATTATATCGTTCAATTCTGAGTACATTTATTAAATTACGTAATAATTAAATAATATTAATAACATTATTTTATTATCGTTTTTATACGATTTCTTATTAATTTCTATAGGATTTTTCATTGATTTCTATAGGATTTTTATGTTGATTACTGATGTTTCATTGATTTCTTTAGTATTTCTTATTGATACAAGGATTTCTTATAGTAACCTTATAGTAAACCGAGAAACAACGATTTTTTATGTTTTAGTGAATTACTTGAGAACCACTGAAGACAATTACATCATCTTACATACAAATTAAAGCTAAATGTTTCACCTTTCCAACA